TGAAACTCATGGCATGAGGCATTACAGGATTAAAGAAAATGCTTTGCCAAACATTTAAAGATATTGTTCTTTTTAAGATGTTCATATAAAATGAAATAACTTTATTTAAAAATATACTAACCACAATGTAAAAAAGCAGCTTTATGTACTAGTTACTAACAATTGCAGAGAAGACTGATCTGTCCTGAAATGCAGATTAGAGATTCTCAGATATAACTTAATCAGGCTTGCTATTTGGTGAGCAGGCAATCCCATTGTGTTTTAAGTTTGCTCTGTCTTAATTTATCTCAATTTAGAGTACAATCTAAAGTATAATCTTAGGTCATCTCTTACTGTGACAGCAAGTGGCTTAGTGTGAGGGGATATGTAACTCATTTATGTAGAAGTGTGCATTGTAAACATTTCTACTCTCCATTCTTGCAGGCTGGGAGTAGGTGGGATCTTTTGATTTATTTATTTATTTTAATCAATTGACAATTAATTGTGCTAGTTAAAATAAAGTTACTTTTTTCAACAATACTGTATCTTCTCACTTTCAAGTAAGACTTGGAACTTTTTGACATTAGCTAGTAAATACATGCGAGTTTGCAGGAGTAGGGCTTTGCTTATGAGTTTTGTTAGATTAGTTTTTAGTTTATGAGTATTGTGCTCAAGAACAGTGAATTGAATGGGTTACCACTTTGAGTTAAGGCCAAGAACAATAATGAAGTGATTTAGGTTGGCATATGGCCTCTTACTACAATTTCTAGAAGTCCTGTTTCTGCAGTGCAGCCTTCTTTCACATTACTTGTGAATCCTATGGTCTGATAATAACTTGCACACAATATTCAAAATAATTTTAGACCAACTTCTCAGCATAGCAAGAGATAATACTCCTTACTGGGTTCTTTCAGTATTTACAATAAAATCATACACAAAATAGAATTGTATTTTTAATATAGTAACCAACTTCGGTGGTTATCTGAGCATGTAAAAGAAGGTCAGAACTTCTCACTTTGGACTACCTGAAGGAGTAGTGGAGTTGTTCTAACAACCAATGCGTTTTTAAAGGACGGTGAACATTTTAAACAGCAAATTGAAATCTCAACATCAATTACACTTTATTCTTGAAACCAGTCAGAAAAGAATATAAAGAAAAATATCGGGACATCCAAGAACACACATGGAATGAAAGAATTCCCTACTAGAAAAAAAAAATCTAAATATTTATTAAAAACAGGCAGAAAATTGGTAAACTAGAGTTGAAACTGTAGAACTCCAGCATATCTTAAGTTGGACCCACAAGGATAACTGAGCCCAACCCCTGTCTTCACACAGCACCACTCAAACTAAAATCCTGTGGCTGAAAGCACTTTCTAGGCTCTCCCCGAGCTCTGGCACTGGGGCTGTGCCCATTGCTCTGGGTAGCCTGTGCCATGCCCACCACCCTCCAGGACAGAGCCTTTCCATCACCACAATCTAAAAGGGAAACTAAGGCCAGAGCAGCAAAAAAAAGGGAGAGGAATTGTTAGCTTACATTTTTTGTTCAAGTTCTATTAAAAAAATCTGTTAAAACCACACTTTTTTTTGTTTGTTTTTTCAAGTCTCAGAATATATTAGCTGCGTTCCATTCTTTTATATTTTCATTTTCAATTCTCTTATTCCTAAGTAACTAAAAGAAGATTCTACAAAACATTACTTAAAACAATATTTTGAAATCCATTAGCTGCTACCTATTTAGATTTATTGTATAATGTAACAGGAAATTTTAACTCGACTAGTTTAGATGAAGTCAAGAAAAGCAAATCCACATTTATTTTTTTTACCCTAAATGCAAAATCAACACATTTACAGTAAAATTTGCTGTAAATAGATGTCAAAGTTCTAATGTTGTCTCAGCTACACTATTATAAATCTACTTGCCTGGACAAAACAAATAGCAAACAAAGCATGGCCAAAGCATATTAACATCCATGTTCAAAATTCAGCCTGTTAAATTTAGACATTTGTGGATTTGGGGGTAAAGCAGATGTGGCACTTACATTAAGGCTCCTAAATTTCATTATATTCCTCTTACAAAATCATAAACCTTGAAAGTGAACGTGAACCACTGAAGCTGATGTTGAACAGATTTTTAAGGTTGGCTCACTAAAAATGCAGCTTACAATGAGAATAATGAAATTAGTTTGGCAACATTTCAACATTAAGAAATGTGCTATGACTGCACCTCATCTATGATGTAGAACAATAACTTGAGTTTAACCTAGACTGCCATCAATCAAGGCAGAGAATCCAAAATGGATCTTTTCCCACCTGTATGAAAAATTCACCCATTTGAAAATTTCACCCTCAGAAGCTGCTTGCAATAAACACACTACTATTCCTGAATTACCTAAAGATGCTTTGCATACTCTGAAGTTTGAGCCCTTCATGCTGATGTGAACTGGATGCTCAGAATGGAATCTATACAAGAGAAGTGCCATGTTCTCCTATACCTTTGCATAATTACAAGGCTTTGACTTTTCCTGTCAGTAACCATTACTGAAAACACACCATGACTGTCAAGAAAAAGTAGTTGACTCAGCAGTGATGTATATTCACGGTCTGCTGAATTCCAGGTGGACAGAAACAGGACACAAACACTTCATTTAATGAAAAAAAAAAAAAAAAAAAAAAAAAAAAAAAAGCAATTCAGGTCAACATAAATGACTAATCTATTAGTCTTGAATTTGCTACATGGAAACAATTAGAAGATATTTTCAATTCTATGCATAAACTTCCATTCATTTAGACTTACAACGACATTAAAACAGCACTTAAGGCACCATTATTATGTTTCTTTGAGATAAATTCTGAAAGGTAGAGAGCATGTCCCAACCATTATTCAGAGGAATTAAAAGAATTTCCCTCACTCTGTTATAAGAAATCAAAAGCAGATACAGTAGCAACTTGTGGATGCTACATACTGGAAATAACAGTAATAGCGTTAATTATATCTGTCAACTGCAATGAATATTGCAGTCCCCACCCCAACGTTTTGCTCACTTCATCAAAATCTTTCATTTTCTTTATTAGATAACTGTGATACTTTCAAGGTACATTAGTGACATAAGCGTAACTGAGGATTACCACAGCCCTCCAACTGAGCAATTAAGCTGTAAATTTTCAAGGATGCAATTTTACTGGAAATTTTGGAGTATTATCTAATTTCACTCCTTGAACTCATTCACTCCTTTTACCTCCTAGATGGGAGGTATATGTATTCCCTAGTGGGAAATCTGTCCTTATTCAGAAGGCACCCTAACCACAGAAATTTAGTCAACAATTACGTGCATAGCATGGCTCTTATAAACACAAATGAAACCAGTTAAAAGAAAGAAACACCATTTTTTCATTGATATTTTTTGTTACAAATAACTCCTCAGTGGGTTAGAATCAGTTCAAGTGATTAAAGGGGCAGGGATTTTTCACATGGAATCTCCAGTGTTAAGGCTAGGAATCTAAGGATATTTTACACATCTGAGATCACAAACAGTTAAGAAAGTACTAGAGTGAAAGCTACAT